AACCTTCCGATCGGCAAGCCCTAGGCTCAGTGGTTTAACCCACAGCGCCACCTGCGTCCCTTTAAATGGTCAATAGTCAGGTGGAAAAGGCACCTGTCTAATTTCGAACACTGCTGAGGAGGGGGAAAGCTGTGTGGAAAAGAGGTGGGTAAGAGTAGCTCCCTGGCCAAAAGAAGTTTGACTACTCTGGACCCCCTCCCAGCACAGAGACCACCTCTTGCACTCTTCTCAGAGTTGTGGGTCTGCACAGCCCATACTGAGTGGTCGCCCAGGGTCAAAGCTGGATCGCCCATGTCGATCTGGTTCAGATTTGCAGAAACCCATAAATCAGCTGGAGAAAGACCAGCGAGCTTCACAACACTTCTCATCGGGACAGGCTTCCCCACAGAGGAGGTAAACGTCGGGAGGCAACTGAGCCAAATTTCTCAAGACATTTTACAGGCCTGCCTTTCTCTTAAAATCAAGGAAATAAATTGCTTCCCAGTGGGAACAGCAAGCAAGGCCGCCAGAAAATCCAAGCCAGCAAATAAGTTCTTAAATGTTCCCCCAAGGACGAAGATTTACCTGAAACGGATCGGTTTGAGGCAGAGAAACATATTGCTCAGGAAAAGGAACTCAATTTTAGCAGTTTCCCAAGCAGGGCGAGGGCAACAATTTGCCGCACGCAAAAGCCTAATTTACTGCTTCGGCGCGAAAAGATGCAGGGAATTAAATGCCACGAGGGAAGGGGGGAAATCAGAGTACACTTTAGCAATCAAAACACATCTGTGTGGCCAGGAAGTGGTTTAAGCAAAGGTGGGCTGGATGTTCCCACAAAGGAAGCTTCCGGACTCTTTTGAGGGGGCAGGTTCGCCATCAACAACAGGCACTCGGGGCACTACTGCTTTTCCAATGCCCACTGCCAGCGATTGCCCTGAGACCACTTTTTCCTAGAGGTCGGCTGCCATTTAAATTTCCTAAAAATGGCCGCCATGTAGTGTCGCACCAAGGCATTGTGGGAAATCTAAAAGCTCCTCGGGCCCTTTTGCATGGCAGGTATAACTTCTATAAAGCTGCTTTCTTGATGGAGGGCAAAGAAGAGTGTGAGATAAAATTAGCTTACTCTGCAAAATGGTAAAGCTCACATTTATTGCTCCACCCACTTTTGCCTCTGGCCACACCCACCAGGGCACATGGCCCCCCAATTGGCCTCCCAGAAGGGAGTGCAGCCCCCAGGATCCCCCAACTTTCCTGTTTGTCTACCTATCAGGAAGCAGGGGTGCGCAGAAAACTGTGTCTCCAAGACACGCCTCGATTGCTGGCTGTGTTATATAAACCTTTATAAAAAAACCCATAAATGTAGGGAGGGGGAAGGAGGCAGAGGTCTCCTGGGAACCTGGGTGCAACTCTGCCAAAAACCTGGACCGCCCTGGGCCTAGGAGGACCCCGGAGATTTGCACATATTCGGCAACTGCTTCATGAACTGCTGACAGCTGCCATCAGGCAAGCCATCTCAGGAGAATCTCATTAATACACACAGCCTTGATTTCATTGGTCTAACTCGCTGCCATGGGCACAGCTGGTTTCAAAAAGGGGATGCGTACAGGCAAATTCATGAAGGAGGAGAGGACTAAGAAAGAGCCATAATGGCTGCATAGAACCTCCATGCCCAGAGGCAGTTCTACCTAGAATCACAGAATCGCAAGAGTCAGAAGGGACCCTGAGGGTCATCCAGCCCAACCCCATGCAAGGCAGGAATCCAAGACAGACCTCTCCTTAAAAACCTCCAATGGAGGAAAATCCATCCTGAGAGCGTCTGTTCCACTGTCAAACGGTTCTTGCTGTCAGAAAGTTCTTCCTGATGTTTAGTCGGATTCTCCTTTCTTGTAAATCAAAGCCATGGGTTCGAGTCCTACCTCTGAATTCCAGCTTGCTGAGGACACCACCGGTAGAGGGCTGTAGCTTCAGAGCCCTTCTTGGAGTTTCCCCAGAGGCATCTGCAGTAGTTGGCCACTGTGGGGCGGCAGACTTAATAGGTCTTTGATCTGATCCTGCAGGACTCTGCTCTTATTAACAACGATAACTAGAAATAGAGTCTCTGTGTTGAGGAGCAGTCTACCCCTTAACTGCGTGAGTTCGATAGATTTGGCTTTAAGTGCAAATCTATCTGTTTATGTGCTTGCCGGAGGTATCTAGTCAGTCACTCTGAGATGTTGGACTGAATGGACCTTGGCCTCCTCCCAAGCAAACTCTTCTTATGCCTTTAATCTCGATTTTCACATCTTCCTGGAGAGATTTCTGGCTTGCATGAAGCTGCCTGGTGTTATTGGTTAGTTGGACAAGTCGATCCGAGTTTTGATTGATTGATTGAAAAGCGCCACCTTAATAAAAGCTCCATCGGGAGAGCATGAGACTCTCGATCTCAGGGTTGTGGGTTCGAGTCCCGCACTGGGCAAAAGATTCCTACATCACAGGGGGTTGGACTAGATGGCCCTCGGGGTCCCATCCGACTGCACAATTCTAGGATTCGAAACACATTGGGCTACTCAGAGTAGACTCACTGAAAATATAGACCTAAGTCAGTCATGGCCATTAATTTCAGTGGGTCTACTCTAAGCACATCTACACACTGGATACAACCAAGTACATCTTTAAGATAATCGTATTGCAATCCCTGATAAATCTGTGAGTGGAAGGGACTTATGTGACTCTCTCAGACAAGGAGCTTCTTTTAACTCTGTCTTAGGAAGATTTGTACCTCTCTCTTTTACACACACACACAAATGGATGTGTTTTTTGGGAAACCTTTTTTTTTTTTTGCACCAGCTAAAATAAAATAACCTCCCCAGAAAAGATAATAAATCTTCTCTCCCTCCCACTCCGTTTGTCATTCATATGCAAATTTATGCAGCTCTCACATCAATTAACTGATGGATTAGAACCTAGGCAGCTAATTCGCAGCCCGGATCCCTTTAAATCAAGCTGTCACGGCTACTTAACATGCATCAGGGGACCCAGGGCTGGATGCGGCTCTTGCAATTTTTGAATGAATTCATGTCCCCGTCCGTCCCCCACCAACACACTTCGATGAACACACACACACACATCAGCAAGGCAGAAGCATCTGCGTCACTGAGGACGCGGCAACTGATAAAGGGGGGGGGGAGGCAGAGAAGAGGAGAGAGAAAGCGTGGAGATGAACCCTCTAGATCCAGCTGCCCCCCACCCCAAAGCCAAAGCATCCATCGCCATCCTAGAAGCCCCCTCCCCACCGAAGAACAGGTTGCTACTCTATCTCTGTGCAAGACTCACTAAAGGCAGGGTGTGTGGGGGTGGGGGGGGGAATGAGCTGGTGAAGACTTTTGGTGCTTTTAACCAGTATGCACCCCCCCAAAAAAATGTATTCCAGACCCTTTCTTTTTGCCATCTCCCTCCCCACACAAATAGGCAACCTTTCCCTACAGAGGACAAGGCTTTCCAAAGGCATTTGGGGAAGTGTGCTCAGAGTCTGCAAAGCGAACCAGCCAGTAAAATGCCTTTATTGCCTCGCCTCCGGCCAGGTCACAATCCCCAACGGTAGGGCTGGGAACGTCCCCTGCCTGAAGCCCTGTTGCCAGTCAGTGTAGGCAATACTGATCTAGATGGAGCAATGGTCTGAGGCTGCTTCCCTGGTTCTGCTCTGCTAGTCAGCCGGTCAAGTGATCTGCTTGGTGTTAAGGCAAATCCCAGGTTTAGTGCAACACTTGGAGCAATCTTCCTCCTTGAGAGCAATGTTGTTTTAATCTGTGAGATCTTGGGGGTTCAAAGCAGCCCCCAACACCACATCCTCTGAGCTGGCAGCCCCTGTGCCAGTCCAGACTTACAGAGGAGTTCTTCCAGCTATGTGTGTCGCGGTGGTGGGAGAACGGCACTCTGCACACACCCAGAGGCACTATATCAGGATGGCGACTGGTTACACAGCTGGTAGTAGGAAGGGGGAGGACTAACTGAAGATGCACCAGGGAAATTGCTCTCTTCACAGAGCTGAACGCTTGACGGCTGAGCCTGACAAACCCCAGGCTCAAATGAAAAACATCCACAGCAGCTTCCAAACTGGGTGCAGGTTTGCTTGTCAGGTGTTTTGAAAGCAGAACCTAGGAAGAAAACAGGTTCTAGAGTTCTAGGCCTCCAGGTCAAATCCAAGCTGTGGTTATGTATGCCCTTTACCAGAGAGTCAGTCCCATTAAATACATAGTAAGTCCCATTAAGAATAAGGCTTAAGTCTCGCCTGCAGAATATATATGAGAGAGCATGCACTTTGGGGGCACACACCCCATTTAAAGCACACACCCCTCTCAAGAATCCTGGGAACTGTAGCTCTGTGAGGAGTAAACTACAATTCGCAGTATTCACATGGGGAGGGAGGTGTGCTTTAAATATATGGTGTTCACTGACAGACACAGAAAGAAAGTGTGTGTGTATGTGTGTCCCTTTGAAATTCAAACATCACCTGCACCCAGTACCTTGCAATATAGAAAGTGTGAGGGAAGGGGGAAAGGGAGCCTCTGAGCTTGCACAGAGTGCTTTCCCTTCGCTATTCGAAAACAGCGTATATAACACACGTTTTTCCACCTGATCCCCAATTCTGGGCTGAGAAAACGGGGGCGGGGTGGGTGCTGACCCCTCCGACCCACCCCAACCCCCAGAGGGCAGGCATGGCTGCCCAGAGACCTTTCTCAAAGCACCTCCTTGGTTCTTCAGAAACAAACCAAGCCCCCTTTCCGCACCTGAGCTTCAGCCGAGCCGAGCTCTGGCACCCCTCAAATGCCCACAAACAAACCCCGGAAGTGGGGTGAGAGTTGGATGGGGAATCTATCTGGGGGGTGGGGGGCAGAGACCCAAAATGCAAAGGAAGACTCCAGAGGGAGAGAGCTGGGGAAAATGGAAGATGGGGGGGATCAGTCTCTTGGGAGGGACGACCCCCCCAAAAAAAAATTGTGCAAAAAAAGTGCTCAGGACCCACCCACCCCTCTCTCTCTTACCTCCTTCTTCACATTCCAGAGCAATTTTTCCTTCGCTGCATCTTCAGGGAGACTCATGGTGCTTCCTGGGCTGAGCGAGGGAAGGTGGCCAAAGGGAACTCTTTCAAAAAAAAAAAGGAAATATAGAGGTCGATCGATATAGAGGTTAAAAAATTAAAACCCAGGCGGCGATTGCAGTCCCTGCGGCCGGTGCAAAAGGAGGGCGATGGGCGCTTCCTCGACCCGGCCCCAGCAGCGTCCCCCGCGCGGCCCCGCCAAGCCTGCGCTCCGCTCGGCGCTGCGGTTGCAAGAGGGCATTCCCTCCAGCGCCAGCCATCTTCCGAGCCCGCCCCCACATTGACGTCAGCCGAGCGGGGCCCGCCTCCTTGGCGGGGGGGGGGGGTTCCTCGCTGGGGTGGGGGCGGGGAGCCGGGAGGAAACGGGAGGCGCTGCGGGGGGGGGGATTATTTAGTAACAATGTGCTTTTGTGAGGGCGGGTCGCGGGGGTGGGCACGTTGCGCCTGCCTTACTGGGAGCTTGGGTTTTGCCGGGGGAGGAAGGAGACGAGAGGGATCCGGAGCATGGGCAGAGTTCTCGGACGCCCGCTCGCAAACAAACACCCGCCGCCTGCCGCTTCCATGGGTTTGGGAATCTGCTCCTCCAACACGGTCTTCATGGAGGGAGGGAGGGAGGGTTCTTGCTGTGCTTTTGGCTTCACAACAGCCCTGTAAGGTAGGTCAGGGTGAGAGTCGGAGGGGACCCTAAGGGTCATCTAGTCCAACCCCCCTGCAATGCAGGAGGTAAGGTAAAGGGACCCCTGACCGTTAGGTCCAGTCGCAGACGACTCGGGTTGCGGCGCTCATCTCGCTTTACTGGCTGAGGGAGCCGACATTTGTCCGCAGACAGTTTTTCCGGGTCATGTGGCCAGCATGACTAAGCCGCTTCTGGCGAACCAGAGCAGCACATGGAAACGCCGTTTACCTTCCTGCCGGAGCGGTACCTATTTATCTACTTGCACTTTGATGTGCTTTTGAACTGCTAGGTTGGCAGGAGCAGGGACCGAGCAACGGGAGCTCACCCCGTCGCGGGGATTTGAACCGCCAACCTTCTGATCAGCAAGTCCTAGGCTCTGTGGTTTAACCCACAGAGCCACCCGCATCCCCCAATGCAGGAGAGGGAGGGCTTAAATCAGGGGCTCTCTGTGGAGTCACAGGTGCTAACCACTGCACCACACTTCCCCTCTGATACGCAACCGTACAATGGGCAAAGGAATAATTCAAAAGGCAATATGGTGTAGCGGTTGGAGTGTCAGACGAGGACCAGGAAGACCGGGGTTCAAATTCCCCACGCAGCTATGAAACTCGCTGGGTGACCTTGAGCCAGTGGCATTCTCTCTCTCTCTCTCTCTCTCTCTCTTCCTTAGTCTGCCCTGCCTCACAGGGTTGTTGTGCAAGATGAAATGGTGCTGGTAGGTGGGTTGGTGTCTGGCACAACATCCTGAAGTTTCTTGGAAGAAGGCTGGGGTAAAAATATGATCGAGAAATCAGAAATAAATGGTGCCCCTGGGCAAGTGCAGAGTGCAGGAATGCTGAGTGAGGGAGAAATTTGCAGGTCTTGGTGCTGAAAGAACTCAAGGGTGTAAGGCCCAGAACGCAACATTGCATTGAAAAAGGGCTGTAGCTCATATTGTTTTGCATGCAAAACAATCGGGTTCAGTCCCTCAATTCCCCAGGTAGAAATGGGAGAGGCCCTCACCTGCAACCTTGGGGAGCTGCTGACAATCAGTGCATTTAAAAAAATAAGAAATTATTGAGAACATTAAAACTGAATACTGGCAGGGAGTTCCACAGGACAGGGCCTGCCACACTGAGGGGTCAGTTTTGGGGAAACTCGGGACCTTCATGGGGAGCCACCAGAAGTGCACCCCACCACCAGCAGAGGAACAGTACCTGGGTCACCTGCAAAGCAGGTAAGCGCCTTTGTTGCCATCTTCCTGCTTTGTTTTGCTGCTGCTCCCCTAGAGGGAGAGGAGAGACTTTGTCTGGACCATCCCTGGAGGACTCTGGACCCACCCACCACCAATTCGTAACAGTGGGCTTGACCCCAGACTTCTGGGTGAGTCGGGGAGGGGGAATATTGGTTTGATGTGAATGGTTGAGGGCTGAGGTTTTGCTTATTTGCAAATTAGTGGGTCAGTGTGTAGCGTTGTTTATTGTTTTGAGTATTGTTAATGCTGCTTGCTGCTATTTATATGGCTAGTATGGTTATTCCCACCACCAGCCCCATGGATGTTATGTTATATGAAATATTAATGTATTATATGATTCTCACCCCTTTCCCCCCTTATGTAATGTAGACCTTGTTCTTTTTTTGCTGCAAGTTGCTTGAAGACCTTCGAGCAACAAGAGACCAATCTCTGGGCTGCAAGCCTGGGCAGTCTGCATGGAGCTCCTGGGCTGCCCTGATGATATGACCCCTCTCTCAACCTCACTGACGTGGTCCAAAGGAAAGCAGAGCAAGATGTTTGGCACCATCTTGGCTGCAGGAGTTGCTGGAAGGAGGCAGGCGAGACAAGTGACTAATAAGTTATAATACGTTATAACAACAACAACAACAACAACAACAACAATGTTATAATAAATAAAAACAACAACAATAACAATAACAATAATGTTATAATAAATAAAAACAACAACAATAACAATAATCTGTTATAATAAATAAAAACAACAACAACAACAACAACAATAATAATGTTATAATAAATAAAAACAACAACAACAATAACAATAATAATGTTATAATAAATAAAAACAACAACAACAATAACAATAATAATGTTATAATAAATAAAAACAACAACAATAACAATAACAATAATAATGTTATAATAAATAAAAACAACAACAATAACAATAATAATGTTATAATAAATAAAAACAACAACAATAATGTTATAATAAATAAAAACAACAACAATAACAATAACAATAATAATGTTATAATAAATAAAAACAACAACAATAACAATAATCTGTTATAATAAATAAAAACAACAATAACAATAATAATTGAGTTATAATAAATAAAAACAACAGCAATAACAATAATAATTGAGTTATAATAAATAAAAGCAACAACAATAACAATAATAATTGAGTTATAATAAATAAAAGCAACAGCAATAACAATAATAATTGAGTTATAATAAATAAAAGCAACAACAATAACAATAATAATTGAGTTATAATAAATAAAACAACAACAATAACAATAATAATCCCCATCAGAAATCTCAGTGATTGAAATGAGGCATAATAAATAAAGCAAAAATAAATAGAATATTTATTTATCTATCACTCTTCCTCTGTTTCTGGTGTTCAGTGCTCTCGCTTATTGTGCCACACATAAGAAGGAGGTATTAGGAGTCTTTGGGGTTTGCAGAAGCTCAGAAAAACAATTGTAGTAGTAGTAGTAGTAGTAGTAATAGTAATAATAATAATGCCCCAAGAGGAGAGGGCAATATGCCCTAAAACAGCCGATTGTAATGCCTGCTAGTTGTTGGGATGGGGGGAAAAAGAAAAGAAAACTTGAGTGGAAAATGGAATGGAGTATCCTAAAAAGGAGCCCTCCACACCCTGCAGCTTTGGGTAGCCAGTCCCAGCTGTCCCAGCTGTCTTGTATCTTGTATCATTAGGAACGGTGCTTCCATCCTCAGAGGCAGTCTACCCCAGCTGCTCAGACACATTTGGAGAGGGTCTGTTGTTGCTTTCATGCTCCCCCCCCCCCAGAAGCACCTGGCTGGCTGCTTTCAGAAACACTGGGCAAGATGCTGCGGAGGGGCTACCCTGAAAGAGCTTTCCTCCATTTATGAAAACACAGGCATGAGTGGAAGAAGTGATCTCTCTCTCTCTCTCTCTCTCTCATGACCTCATCATCCGGATGCAGACAGGCGTGAATTTGCTGCTGCAGAATTTTATTTGTTTCTTATTCCAGACTCTGATTGCTGCCCTCTTGAGTTAGATATGGGTTCAGAGGAGGACAGCAAAGATGGCAAGTGGCACGTTAAACAAAGTTATTTGCAGCAAAGTCAAAGGGACCAAAGAGGTTTAGCTTGGGAAAGATGCGAGAGGAGCAACAGATGCATCTAAGCCCTTCCTTCTCCTGGCATTCCTTGCTATTTCTTCACCTATTCAGACTCCCAACCATCAATTTCTCTTTTTCTTAGGACTGACGCATTCACTGAGAACAGCGACGTGGCTCAGAACAGGGGTCAGCAAACTTTTTCAGTAGGTGCCAGTCCACTGTCCCTCAGACCTTGTGGGGGGCCGGACTATATTTTGAAAAAAAATAATGAACGAATTCCTATGCCGCACAAATAACCCAGAGATGCATTTTAAATAAAAGGACACGTTCTACTCATGTAAAAACACGCTGATTCCAGGACCATCCGAGAGTCAGATTTAGAAGGCGATTGGGCCGGATCCGGCCCCCAGGCCTTAGTTTGTGAAATATACTCAGAGTCGCAAAGTGATTTCATGCTCTTTATTCAGCTCATAGTGGTGAGGAGGAATGAATGAATGTCCCCTCAAAGTATCTGCTTTATATACATTATTTACACAATGGGCTGCACATGATTGGCTAATTCTGGAATTCTACTGTAAGCCAATCAGGTTGTGGATTCACTTATATCTGGAGCATGATTGGGTGGTTCCTACCAACCAATCATACTGCTGCATTGTTCTAGGACCAATCAGACTGCTGCATTCTGAATCCTATTGTTCTAGGATCAATCAGACTGCTGCAATTCGGATCCTATTGTTCTAGGACCAATCAGACTGCTGCAGTTTGGATCCTATTCAACTCAGTACATAACAGTTTGCCTACCCATGGCTCAGAACATAAAAGTTGTGGAGTTAATACAGGCAGGAGGGATCCTTTGAGGTCAGCCTCCCGGGAGCTCAGCACAGGAATCTTGCAACTTCAGCAGCCCTGAGAGATGGAAAACCTCCCACGAAGGACAGCCCACACACCACTTCTGGGGTCAGTCTGGTCCTCCGTGGGAGTCAGTAGGGTGGCAGCTTCTGGGAATTGCAGTGTGGCATTCAGGGCCTGGTTGGACGTTTCCCATGGGCGTATGGTTGGCACAGAATTGTAGAGCTGGAAGGGGCCACGAGGCTCAGCTAGTCTAACCCCTGCCGCTGTGAGAACAGAAGGCTGGAATATTCTGGCCAGAATTGGGGCACGTGGTGTGTTGACGTCACATGGCTCTGGGCCCCCTAAATCGCGGGGGGCAAGGTGTCATGCCTGGGAAGAACTTTCTCAATAAGCATACAAGACGTAACTG